ATTACAAAGTCCATCTTAAATTCCATCATGTTTGATACATACAGCATTTTTTTTTTAGAACAACTGAACGTAACATAGTGATTGTGCTATAAAATACCACTAAGTGGTTGGAAAACACATGCTACCGCCCCTTTAAAAATTTGTGCGTAGTGTATTCCTCTCAAAATATTGATAAAATCCTCTTGAAGGCCTCAGCCGACCGCTTTGTGCTAACGTGCTAACGTTAGCCTCCGTACCTTCATCGCTCAATAGGAGACTGTTTTTGTATCAATTTTTTTAGCAGGTCCTAACAAGTCTTTCATGTGTGTCCTCCTTCATCACTGCTGTGGTTCACCTGGCATACAAAAAAAAAAAAAATCCCGGTTTGGAAACACATAAGTTGCTGGCACTCTGCTCCCCGCGGGGCTGTTCCCTTTGATGATGGTTCCAACACACCGAGCCGACAACACTGTAGTTAAAACCACACTGACCCACATTTATCTTAGCTTGATTAACAGCTGTCCGCACACCCGGCCCATGTGTGTGTGTGTGTGTGTGTGTGTTTGACTTTATGTCGAAGCATAGCTACCCGCGAGAGCAGACACATCGGTTCACGTCATATAGTGTGTGTGTGTGTGTGTGTGTGTGTGTGTGTGTGTGACGCCGTCGTGCACGTTTTGAGCTCTGATTTTAATGATCTCCTCCCAGCCCCTCTGGCCCAGTGTGAGCTTACTTCGACTCACATCAGGATAATTAATATCGCACTCAAGCCCCTGGTAGAGCGCTATGGCTTTTCCCACAACCCGCTGCTCATAACTTGCCTGTTTAAAAAAAAAAAAAAATAATAATATTTATTTCTTTATTCAGAGAAACAAAACGGGTTGAACAACAACGTTTGGGCAATTTTCGTGCATCGTGGACGCGAACGGTGTTAACCAGCCCTAAAATCATCCCTCAGAGACAGTCTGTTCGGTTCATAAGGCCGCTGTTGCTAATTTAAAGCAGAAAAATGACTCCTCTACGCACGTTTTCATTTCTGACCAAGTTCAGGCTGAAGTGCGATTGAACTCGTCCCAGTTACACTGGAGGTTCTCTGAAGCCAACAGTGAAGGACTGAGGATGTGTGGTCTGTTTCCAGATAGATATAGGTGTGTGTGTATGTGTGTGTGTACTACCTATGTCAGAGTAATTTGTGAGATTATTTAAATAAAAACCCTTCATCCTTTTTCAGATACTCCCGTTGGAATTTGCTGTAATTATGAGTCGTCTTTCTTACACTCTCTCTCTCCTTCTCTCAACTTGGCTTGTAAATGAAAACATCTCCTAATAGTGAAAGAAAGAAAGAAAAAAAAAACTGCTGCACATTAGGTCTATTCTAAAACGCTCTTACTATTGAGCGTTTTCCACCTCTGATCTTCAAACAGTGCCTTTGTTTTCCATTTGCTTTCTTTGCAGTCCAGAAACCTCATGTGGGAAGAAGATTTTTCTTTCTTTTCTCTCGCGAGTGTGTTTGGGGGGGCCAAGGAAGAAAAGGAGAAGGAGAAAAAGCTCGATGCAGAAGTTGACACAGGCTCTTTGTCATCATGAGAAATCTAATCGTAATTGATTCATTCATCTCTTTGTTACTAAAACTGACAAGTATGAGTGACTTTCAAGCGGGCAGAAGATGAAACAGGACAATACGATTCACAGTAGTCAGTCGGATGGAAACAGGAAAACTGACAATAACCATTTACATATTTTGTAGCGATATAAAGGAGAATAATTTCCATATGAATGTAAACGTGGCCAGGTGAGGAAATCACCACGTGCTCTGGTGGCTTAAAATCAATAACATGCAGAAGCAAATAGTTGGGAAGATAATAGTGATTCAATGCAAAAACAAAAAACAACAAAAAAAAAGACAAACCCAGTGCACACCCACACATTCAGACCATGTAATGAGATGATCTCCCAATAAAAAGCATGCAGGACATGAAAGCTGCACAAATGGCCGAGAAAACAACAGCTGTAATGCGACAGGCGGACATTTGTTCCACTAATCACCGGGGGGATTGTCAAATGCATTCGAACACAAGCTACTGGAGACTTATGTTATTAGGCTCTGTAGCAGCAATTGCACAAACACAAATACACACACACACACACACACACACACACTGGGGATGTTGCTGTCGTCCGGCGCTCTGTGGATCGGTCCCCACACCTTGACAAGCTGTCACTGATTCTGACATGTAGCATCACAGGATAAGGGGATTACACTGCTCTGTGAAGAAAAGGCTTCTTTCCATCAAATATTTCAGAGGATGTAAGCTTCGTGTCTAGTAAACAACGCCGGGTGTCACATATAGGGTGGCTTATTTAAATCAGCCACTTCCTGTCTCTGTACGACAGGCTTTCACACGTCTGATTCTGAATAAATAAGTTTACAGGAGCAGATTTTTTCTCTCACTCTCTCATTTTTTTAGAAGAACCAAAGCTTTTATATTATATTATATTATATTATATTATATTATATTATATTATATTATATTATATTATAATTGTGCATTTTATGCCCACTGTAAGCATGGTAGAGGATCTGTGATACTATGGGACCCTTGTTAGAATGCATGAGATCAAAAACTATTTGAAATACCAGATGTATAAATTTGAAAAAAAAAAAAAAAGATAATAATAATAATAATAATAATAATAATAATAATAATAATAATAATAATAATAATGCCTGGTACATTTATTTTGAAGGGAACGTTGCAGGTGCTATGAGTGATTTTGTTAAAATCCATTGATTACAATGGATTTTTTCCCCCACAAGCCAAATGTACAGGAGTGAAAAGTTAGATGTTCATAAACCATCCAGTTCCTGTAATAAAGGTTTGTTCATTTGAACAGTTGCTTCATGACCAGCACTGCATGTCTGTGTTTTTGTTAAAGTGATCAACCTTTCTAGGGAGCACATCCTCTCTTGTGCTGTCGTGTCTTTTTGAGTGAATGAGTGCATGAGTGGATGAGCGGATGAGTGAATGAGTGAATGAGTGGATGAGTGCGTACTGTAGGCCACCTGCTGCTTCTGTCGCAGCGACGTCACGGTAACAGGACCGGGTCGAACTTCCTGTTCATTCTGCCACGAACCCCGGGTGGCATGAAAACACAAGAAGACGTCTCAGCAGAGCAAGTTAGTTTTCCAGTGTAACGTGGTGCCGTTCCCATCACAGCCTGAGATTTAGTAGTTTTGAGTAGTTTTTTATTATTATTCTATGACAAACTCTTTTTTTTTTATCTCTGCTGAAAACACCAGCGAGAAATCGGAGGTTAAGCTGAAACACGATCAGAGTGGGGAAATTTCACTTTTAAAACCAAGCCCGACTCTGACAGCTGGTTATTTTGTCTTCAGTTTATTGTTGAGTTTTCTAAGTTTCGCTATGTTACCAGCGGCTGATTCACTGTTTTTTCTACAACCTTAAATCGTTTCTGTCTAAAGCCTTGCCTTGAATGTCTTCCTGTAACAGATTCATGTCATGTTTAATAATGTATTTGCTCACTCTGCAAGTTTAGTTTAATTAAACTAAAATAACTATTGCAATGTGCTGCTCAGTGTTTACCAGTCTGAAATTTAATTACCAGTGAAACTGTACTGTTGCTACTGCTAAAGAAAAAACTGGGTCAGATTTTGATTATTCAACAAATAAACTTTCCAAGAGGAAGGCGTTGAAAAAACAGCTGGGATGTTTTTTTTTTATTATTTTTTTTGTCCCTACGGATCACCAGTTTAGTGTTTTATATTTTTGTAGATATTTTCCTGTCTACCACATCAGATCTTTTCACTCACGCTGCTTGCAGCCGATGTTCACAATATTAAAATGTAGATTTTATGCCGTCTGTTTAGATTGAAGTTATTTGATTGCATGTGTAGGTTTTTCAACATGAGGTATTGCTGCCAAAATGATCTTACAAGACTTTTTTATCTTTTGGCAGACTCAACTTTCTTTTAGATTTTCACAATAAGAGCCTGAAATATGCCCAATGAACTTCCAGCAGCTTAGTAAAACGAAAAAGTATTTTCTCCTTACAGATTTTTTGTTTTGCTTTTGCCACATCTTATTTGTTCAAGAATGTCAAACAAATGTTAATAATAGACACAAATAACAAAAGTAAATACGAAGCCTTAGTTGTATTAGTAAAGGAAAACGTCATCCGAACCCATCTGACCAACGTGAAAATATGATTACCCTGCTTATTAAGTCATGAACAAATTCAATGGACAAAGTTATAGGCCCATTGTAGATAAAAGGAAAAACAATACCAAAGTGAACAAAGGCGTGAATATCCACCAAGAAAACTGAATGATTTCTAGGTTATTTTACCATATTTACAAGAAAAATGTAGATATTCCTGACTATAAATAGCCATTTTCAATGATTAAAGTCACATAATACACTAAAACTAGGATAGCTCTGAATTACGTCAGACACTTGAGACAAAAAAAAAAAAAAAAGACATCCTGTAAGGTTTAAGCGTTAAATTTAGCAGATTCGCATCTGGAAAGTGAGAGTTGTGTCGCCTCGGGTCTTCCGGGTTCCGTCGACGGCGTTCTGATAAATCATCTGGATGCGGTTATCTTCAAATTTACATCTTCAGTCTTGGAGAACATCTGGTGTTGTTGGTTTTTTTGCTGCAAATGTCTCACTTTGTAAGCTTTGTAAATCTTTGAGGGTTTTCCCCACGCAAACGTCCGATGTTACAACCCCAGAGAATATCTTGATGCAGTATTTCAATTTATGCTTTAAATAATACGAAAAATATTTTGTTTCTTCCTGCAATTGGATTTTTTCACATAAACGTGAAACTAATTTAGAAATGTCTTACTTTTTCTTACATAGAAACATGCTCTTCTGCTGTCTTTTATTCACACCGGCCCTGATGCTTTGTCCTAATTCCTGCCCGTTTTCCTCTAAGCACATCCCAAAGCGGTGAGTGTTAACCCCCGTCCTTAGGTCCACTTTCTCTGCATGTTTTAGGCGTTTCCCTGCTGCTTCACACCTGACCCAATTGAACGGCTGGCTGCCAGGCTTCAGCAGCACTCGGGCGACATGCTGAGGGAGGTAATTCAATCATCTGAGTCAGTTGGCGCTGGAGCAAAGAGACATCTGAAACAGGAAGGGCAGCCGGCCCCCCGGAGGACCAGGCCTGAGAAACGGTGCTCTGAAAGCACCGCGGGGCTCATTTGCCTCAGTTAAGGTGAGTAATAATGATTGAACACTTCCCCACAACTTGGCTAAAATCACATCCTCTGGAAACTTCCTCATCAGAAAAAAAAGAGGAAAAACCCCATTGATGACCAAAATGAAAACAAAAGTCTGTCAAACATTAAAAAACAAAGAAAAAAAGAAATCTTGATGATATTCTTTTGACTAGAGAGACAGAAAAACACTCAATGATTTAACTGCTAATAAAACATCGATGCCTGGCTAATATCTCCCCAAGAGAGTTTTATTTATTTATTATTTTTATGGGTCTCGTAAAACAAAAGTTGAAGTTTGAGTCACAAATCTTAAAGAAAAGTGTGGAGGAAAGCAAAATAAATAAATAAATAAATAAATAAAAATGCCAGCTCCACAGCGAAAGGTGTTGGTGGCAGCATCTCCACCTGCAGATGGAACCAAACTTTGAATATTTCTTTAGAAACTGGTCAGATCTGACCTCAGAAAGCTGCAGAGTGCAAGCACACGTGCAAAAAAAAAAAAAAAATAGAGAGAGAGAATGATTTCACTGGAATAAAAAAAAGTTTTAAAATATTCTCCTCAGATTTGAAAAGTTAATGTGACAAAAATAAAGGAAATCTGTGGCCAAACCTGAAGGCGGCCATGGAGAAAAGTCTTACTTTCCGCATTTTTATTCATTCATTTCAGTCTAACAAATAGGTTTGTTTTGTGGTTAAATTGTACAAATCAATGCCATTCCGTAGGTAGAACATTTTTGAAATGATTAATTATAGTCTAATATTTTGGGACAAACAAACGCCTCGTATTTAACAAGGTAGACAGACTTTTGAAAAGCTGTAAACACCGCCATCCCCCTGGGTGGAAGCCCAGAACATATCGCATCAGTTATATGCGCTTGTGTTAAATTCAGCAGCGCCGCGACTTCCTGTACTGGATTAGTGACTTTATCCGAGGCTCTGCTGCGGTCCCGGGAGGCGTCGGCTCCAGAAACGGGCATCTGATTGGTAATTATGTAATGTAGTGAAATGCAATGCGGGAGCTTCCCTTGCAGCTTACAGGAAGTGAAGACACAACTTTGCAGAGTGAGGTAATTACTCTGCAGCCAAAGTCTGTCGCATCGAAACACGAGCAGATTAATCGGGATTTGTTACGGGGGAACTTTTAATACGTTTATCCATCAAAGAAGAGACTGAAAAACAAAAAAACAAAAACCGGGGAGAGTCCTGTGTGCACACATTCAAACAGGTAACAAGGTGCCAACAATCAGGGGAACAGCGTCTCCCTCCTTCCAGGACATCCCTCCCCCATGATGCCTTTTCATCAGTGATTTCAGGAAGTCCATTACTATTGCAGAAGGGTATCATGCTCCTGCTCCGCAATCAATACTCTTCCATTAAGGTGATGAACGGTCCGTTTCCCCAACCGTCTGCAGTCAAGACAAATTCTCAGGACCCACTGATCCGAATCAGTCAGTGTCAGCGTGACAGCCCGGCGGCGTGAAGGGTAAGGAGAACGACTGAACGGGGGGAGGGTGGGACGTCTGAACGGGGCCCTGAGCTCAGGTTTGGGCGCCTGCGGCGTAACGGATGTTGTCTTTTTCTTTAGCAGAGAAATTAGACGTTAGTTCGTCGTTTCTCTTACCTGGACTTTTATTGGTCGAGTGTCCGGCGTCGTTTAAAACTCGCCTTCAACGTGAGTTATGTTTTTCAGCTTAGCAGTGAAGATACGCGCAGAGCAAATATATTATGCCTTGTATGGAAAAACAAACGAAACAAAACAAAGACACATAAGTGCAAAGTTATACAGAAATTACTTCCAGGTAACCAACAGAGTAAAGTTGCCCCACCCCCCCAAACACCTTTTCAAATCAAACAAAATTGGTGTCAGACATTTGTGCTGGTTTTTTGTGCTGCAAGTCTTTTTTGTTTGTGGCGCTCTGAAAAAAAAAAATCTCTCCAGAGGTCATGAAAGGTCAACAGGTCCATGTAACCCCATGTTACCCAAATCAAACAAAATTGGTCTCAAACTTTTGCGCAGCAAAAATTTTGCTTGCAACATTATTGTGCTGCTATCTTCAAACTGATAGCGGCACAAATTAATGTTGTTTTTTTTTTTTTTGCGGCACAAACACTTGACACCAATTTCGTCTGATTTGGAGGAGGGCGGGTGGCGGTTGGGGCATGTTGACCTTTTGACCTGTACACTTTCATTAATATCTCTAAAACGATAGCAACACAAACGAAAATCTTTTGCTGCACAACAGCACAAACGCAGCACAGATGTTTGAACACCAATTTTGTTTGATTTGAAAAAGGTGTTTGGGGGGAGGGGCAACTTCACTCAGGTTGCCCCCGTAAAGCCCCTCAACTGCCACGAGGACGTCGGCGTCCTCAAGGACTCATCGACTTACATGGAAGTGCTTTGAGGGCGACAGTTAAGGGGCGAAGTGACGGCATTTAGAAAGCTCAAAGAAGTGATGTTGTGTTGAGTGGAAAAGAATTTCGGTCGTCAGTGTGAGCCGTATTTTATTTATTTATCCCCCCACCTCCTCTTCTCCTCTGACAAGACAAATACCCCCGCCCACCCTAACTCCTCCGCCTCTGCCAAACCCTGGAAGTACAATTACAGAGGAACATCGAGTTTGACGAGCCAAAGCATATTCAAACCCCCAAATACAACACAGCAGACAAACCTTGTACATAAAATCCGACAAAATGTCTGCCAGAGCCGTCGTTATCTGGAGGCTTGGAACATAAAAGAAATCCATAAAAACAAAGGCAAGAGCAAACCGAGCAATGAAACGGGGGAGAGGCAGTGTTTCAGGGGGGGAAATATGAACTGTACAGTGAGATAAGAGAGATTCAGGGAAAAATGTTAAATTATTAGAATTAACACATAACTAAAATTAAGTAATTTACTGTTGTGGTGAATAAACAAACTCAAACTCTGTAGAGAGCTGAGAAAAACGTCAGTAAGAGAGAACAGAGTGGTTTTCACCCGCATGCTACTGTCACAATGTTGCTACGCGATTTATGTAGTTATAAACATAAAATTGTCATGATGTGTGGTTGAGGAGAGCGGTGAGAGAGACGCCGGGAATCCCAGGTAGTCATGATAAGAGATAATTTAATGATAAACCAGGAGGGACAACAGAAAATCACTGGCAGCACAGGAACAGACACAGACGTGAGACACGACGAGGATCCGACACAGACAAAGACAACAGGTGGGGTTAAATACACAGGGAAGGTAATCAGGGAACGGGATACAGCTGGGAGCAATCAACGGGGAGGACAGGACAGAGACTCACAGGAACACAGGACTGAACACAGAGAAACTCAAAAATAAACACACAGAAACACGGAACCTAACAAAAATAAAGTTAAAAAGAAACGTGGAAGTCAATTCTACTTTGTTTATGGAATCAAAATTCTTTACACCAAGGTTTAAGAGTCGTTATGAAATACGCTCAGTGCAGCTTTCAAAGGAAATTGTTCCGGATGCTGTGATAAATGACCATCAATGACACTAAATGGTCTTTGAGCATGTCATAAATAATTCAAAGTAGATGCTCCCTATAACACCTTCAGGAAAATGAAACAATGTGTTCTGCTATAAAAAAGAAAAAATCCTCGCTATCCTCTTAATTCACACAATACATGCAAAGTCACCCTTCAGGAGGCATGAATTACGTTGCGTTTTGCTTCTGACACAGACATGCTGTGAAAGCCTCGGCAAAGACGGCGGCATGTAATTTAATAAAGTCTGCATTGCTGGCTCGCTCAAGGAACTGTTTCCCCCCAATTTAACAGCTGACGTGCTCCGCTATCTTTTGGGTAATCCGAAGAGGAACGCGGCAGTGGCGGAGCAATTACTGGGTGACTGACAGGCTCACGGTCGCACATTCAGCTCAGCCAACAAAGCAAATTCTGCATAATGCTCAAACAAAGTTCAGATCTCTCTGTGGCACGGACAGAATGATAACGACAAAAGGCGCTCGCTGCCGCGCCGTGTGGCCCTGCCGCGCCGTCAGACAAACCCCATGCTAGTTATTAACACAAACAGTTATAAATATGAATGTAATTAATAACCAAGGCTGATCCTTGTTTGAAAGCAGAACTTGGGAGAAAAGCTCTGATGTGTTGATTTCTACTGATTTGCTGCGCTGTTTGTGTCTCTGTTGTTTCTGCTCGGTTTTGATTAATTAACTAAATGAACATGATTTTGGTCTTGGGTGGATTTCTCCACTGTTACAAGGCGGCTTAGTGCTGTGTTTTTCCTGCAGGTTTTGTTTTACCTGATTATGCTCTGAATGTTGTAGCTTCGAGCCACACATTCTTGGGGGTAAATAAAATATGCTCAACTGTCTCATGAATAGTACATTCAGCAGATGTTTCAGGTTTTCCAGGTTGCTTAAAGTTTAAAACACACAGGTAGAGAGTGTCGCTGAGGCCCAGTGCTGGCGGCCTGTCTGTCTGCCTACTGGAGATGATTTTTTTTATTTTTTTTACTGCTGTAAAAGATGTAAAAAGGTGTTTTCTAAGATGTGCAAACAACAAGTGGTGAAAGTTGTGTAACTGAACTAAAAAATAATAGTAAGAATAACAATTTTGAAAATATTCAATAGACTTAAAAAAAATGGTTGAAAAGTTTTAAGTTAAACTGGAGTTGTACTGTTTTCTCCTGCTTCCTGTTCACGAATGCAAAGGGATTTCATTTACAGCGCCATCTACTGGTCTAAACAATAACTTTATTCAGTGTCGTATGCCTCAAGCCAGGGCATGAAAAAGTAACAAGGACTTTCTTCAGGTCCAAATTCTCTTTCTCTTTTGAAAGCACTCACAGGTCTCCCAGTCCTCATGACTGAGTCTGTACACCAGCTGCAGTCAGAGGTGGATGTTCACCTCACACTGACCAGGCCTATAAAAAAATAAAAAATAAAATAAAATAAAAAAACGCAAATGCCATTGGCTGTTTTTATATTGACTCTTTTTGGTCCATCTAGGTTGTTACTGTCTCGAGATAAACATGAGCGATACGGTTAAAAATAGACCCTAACCTTGACAGAAAATGATTATTGTAGTTCTTAGCATACTGCATGCTACATGTTTTGTCTTTCTTACAGCCTCCATTACAAATTGGAGAAGCAAAATGACACATTAGATGATTCAGTTAAATTTCGTAAGAGCTTCTAAAGATTTCCAGGACTGGCAAAACACATTTTCCTCACAGGAAACGAAGGATTTAGCAGCTGACAGAGCAGCACATGTTGACATAAAGGTGTTTTTCTGTTATCAGTTTTGCAAATTGAAGATTTGTGCCAAGTAATTCATTGACAGTAATTATGAGGAAAAGTCCACTTTTAAAGGCTCAAAGGTCTGCAAACTTTTGTGACTTTCTGCTGTGACTTTTGGGTTACGTTTGGGACTCAAAAAGCTTGGTTCGGATTGGACAAATTCCTCATCCGCCCAACCGGATTTTATAGGGAGGACGATGATGATGATACCATGGATTTTTTTTCTTTCTTTTGCAGAGGCTTTTGTTGATAACCAGTGCCTACATTTATACTCGCCGCACTTTTGTAAAATAAAATAAAAAATAAAAAAACTCAGTTTTTCTAGGGTGGCTGAAATCTGCATGACTTCTTATCTCGGCACGGTGAATTAAAGCCAGACATATGCCTTCCTTTGATACTGGTCCATAATTTTATTACGTGACATGCCTCTTTTTTCATGCTGCAGAGTTATAACAAAAAAAGTAGCACCTTTTCTCTGTGTGTGTGTGTGTGGGGGGGAACAAAACATTTATTCATGTGTTTAAAGGCTTCTGGACTCTCCACAGTCGCTGCTCTTTTGTTTCCGGCTCCCCGGGGTCTTTAAGTTTCACACTCATTGTTGGGATTTGCTGTGGAAAATTACAGTAAGCGTCTCCTGCACAGATTATGAAACGCTCTGTGCCCAGCCTCGGCTGCGGCGCGTTCTCATCAGCAGCTCCTCACCTCATTTAACTCAAATAGCACGCCCGTGTATTTAACTTTGTTCGCCATTAACGGGTCCAACAATATGACTATCTTGGCATCAAATTTGTTAGATATTTCCTACGTAATGTTAACAGTTTGACTTTGGTTATCTAAGCATTGAGGGGGGGGGGGGATAAAACAGAATCTGTTGATATGGAGAGAAATATTGTAACGCAAGACTGATGATTAATGACGGACAGTGATTTGCATTCATCACTGGGCTCCTGGATTATTTCTATCTTTGGTGTTTGTTCAAACGTAAACCAGCTCAATAACTGATCCACAAGTGGATTCCGGCTTAAACAGGGATTAATTATAGATTAATCCCCCCCAACAAGAAAAATGTATTTTTTGAAATTAAACTGCTAGTATCATGATCTAGAGAGTTTTCTTTTTTTTCTGTATGTGCTGTGATGTATTTCTGCTTGATTTCTTTCTGTTGTTGTTTCACTGCCATCTTGTTAGATTTCCTGGCAGCTTTGGGAAGATGAGCAGCAAACGTTTCAGGGACTGAGCTCATTATTATTTTTCTTTCTTTTTCTAGTTTTTTTTTGTTTGTTTTGTCAAACCAGGCAGAAATAAACAGTATTAAAATGTGTATTTCAGGTTATAAAAGTTTATTTCTCCCCCGAAAAAGTCATTTTTTCAGAGATAATAATACAAAATTCTAAGAAGTGTCCTTGAGACACAGAGAGTCATACAGAGCTCCGTCTCTGAGGATGAAGAGGTGCACAGTTTTGCGAAGTATTCTGCGTCTGTTTTTCATCCGCAAGCGATGAGAGAAAAGGTGGGAAAAACATTCTGGAAATAAAAGCGGGAGTCGGACGGCTCAGGGATTCAAAGCACACAACTAACACCCGGCTGGATGGGCGAAAGGACAACTGACCGCTGGGGACTGTTTACACAGCAGCCATGCAGAAAAGGACAAAACTAAGTGCAAGTAATTAGCAAACTCAAACGAGGTGTGTAGAGGCGACGAAACCTGAGAAACAGCAGATAAGCAACGGGTCGAACGAGGATGCAGCACAGAATACGGTACTGCGAAAAAGTCATTCACACTTTATGGATTTATATTATTTTTTGCTTTTAGTCACATCAGATCACCAAACACAGTTTTTTTTTTTTTTTTTTTAAAAAGAGAACCTGAAGAAATACAAAAAAGTAGTTTTAAAATAATAGTTTTGTTTATTAAGAACAGAAGCATTTTTCTAAGCTAAGCTAGCTTAGAAAAGAAATGTGCTTGTGACCGGAGTTCTTCTTCTTCTTCTTCTTCTGCTTCTTCTTCAGCTTTTCCCTCCAATGTTCACCACATCTTCATTTTCGTCCTCTTCCCTCACTCCAAATAAGTGAGGGATGTCCTCTTTCACCAAATCCATGAATCTCCATAAGTATTCATACTAGGCCACTACAAAAACGTTCACTTACTTTTTCAGGTGTTCAGACTTTGACCCGCCTTGTTGTGAACTTTTCCAAGACAATGAGATCCTAGATGATCTGATTTCTTTAGGTGAGATCAGGATTTGTTACTTTTTAAAGTATTTTAGCTGAGCTGAATAAGTGAAATTAAGCCAAATAAATGTCTCATGATTCATGATTGCGACTGCGTATTTTGATGACAGACGGTTGGGTTTCCTGTGGAACTAAAGTTAAAACATGGTTGAGAAAAACCTTGACCTAAGTGACCAATCTGCTGCTGTTTACCGGACAAGGAACCCGGTTTTCTCACATAAAAATAACATTTGAATAAACTCTTTTAATAAACATTTTTAATTAAAAGGGTTTTGCTGTAAAAACGTCTGAACCCAAACGTCAAAGCACATTTCAGAGAACGCGAATTTATAAATAATCGGACGTCGCATCATGGTTTTCATTCTATCTGATCTGTTCTATGTTTTTGACTTTTGTTGTCGTGAAATGTTTTTTTTTTTCCTTTTTATTATACAACAGTAATATCATCAACAACACACCAAAAGAAAAACAAACAAACAAAAAACATAGTGGTATATTTCTCTGCTTTGAAGAATAACAGCACTCGGAGACAAAGTAAAGCAGCTTTTCAAAGAGTCCAATTTGCACCGTGGGGATAAATCCAACTCCCTGGAGACAGAAATTGCCAAACATCACAGCAGATCTTAAGGAATATTCTTTCTTTTAGGTGGTAAAGGGCTCACATTAGTATCTCCACATGTCAGCATATAAAACACCGTGCTGCTCTTTTTTTTTCTCCATCTAAAAAAGACATGAGATTGGATTTTATTTTAAAGCTGTGGATACTTTACTCCGTCCCAGTGCATGCAGATGAGTTTCTCTGTACGGCCATGCTGCCCTCCGTTGACTCTCGGCGGTATTGTTCTGACTCGAATGGAAAGAACTACAAGCTTCTTTGATACAGTTCACCTTTTGTGTGTGTGTGTGTGTGTGTGATAATGTCTTCATTCAGCAGCTCAGATTGTTCTGCCTTTAAAGAAAGTGTCTTCCTTGGACCTCCAGGCTGACCTCCAGGCTTGTTCTGCATATTGTAATTAGTTGCACCTGCAGCACACTAACCCGTGCTTAGGAACACGACTACAAATTTTGTGCTTATGTTAAAAAAAGGAGGGGAAAAAAAAGCTTCTCTGACCCCATTTAATGGGAAAACAATAAGACGGCTCTCCACCAGCCTCCTGTATAGTTGCTGCCTGAGGCTAAGTCAGCACAGAATTACAAACAGGCCAGAGAGGTGATGCTGCTGCATTGCTGTCAGTGGGCAGAAACGTACATTACGCTTTTATACCCACAGTACAACCCACAGACACACATGCAGTAAAGCTTTCTTCCTGCGCTCCAATCTATCGCGTTGTTTTGTGAGGATAAAAAACTGGACAGTCCAGAAAGAAGTTGGTTAACTGATAGTGGAGGAAACACTGCAAGGCTTTGGATGAAGTTTTGAAAACGGGGTTTTATTAACTCTCTCCTGAATGCTTTAAATTCAAATGACGCCTTATGAGGTGGAGGGAAAGACGCAATTTAGCTCTGATTTTTACAGAGCAGCGTGTGGTGGTACAGTGACACCTAGGGGCGAAGTGACAGATTGCAGTCAACTCAGTACCTCCAATGAAATGCAGTCATTTAAAAATGAGCCTTGTTTTGAGGCGATCTTTCAAGTTTGTAAGATAAATAAATTCTTTCTTTTTTTTAACATGTACATAGTTAAGAATGGCTGCATCAAATAAATGTTAATATCTGACAAAGAAAGTATGAAGCACTTCTTTAATAATGGTTTAATTTTTTTTTCTGAAAAAAAACCTTTCCAAACAAACCTTATTCTGTGGAAAAGTAATTACACCCTAAACCTGATAACTCGTGGTGCCATCCTTGAAGATAACAGCTGCTATCAATTTTAACTGTTTGTTAAAATGTGATCTTGAGTCTTTTACGTTACACTGCATTACTTTTTATATTTTCATTTTGCCACATTGAAGGGTTTTCTTGCCTATTCATTTCGCTGAATTTGAGTTCATACTTTGACTAGGTCACTCCAACACTTACATGCTTTTCCCTTTGAGACTTGCTGGTGCGCTTTGTTTGATTGACTTTCTGCAACTGAACTTGAGCTTAAGGTCATAAACTAACAACCTTCTCCTGTGAAGTTTTTCTGCTAAGGAGGAAAATTCATGTTTCTGTCGACTACAGCAAGTCATCCAGATCCAAAAACAGCAAAGCGGTCGCAGACCATCACACTAACACCCTCACCTCTCACAGCTGTGATATATAACGATGTTCACCTTCCAAAAAGTGTTTTTCTCCCTGCAGTATGGTGTTAATTTAAGCAGAAATGATTGGACAGCTATAATTCAAGCAAAAAAGGCTTTGTAGCATTTGTGCATCCAGGTTTAGTCCAGGAAAAAAAAAAAAAAAAAAAAAAATAAAAATTTATATTTTTTTTTTTTTTTTATTTTTTTT